CTCTCTCTCTCTCTCTCTCTCTCTCTCTCTCTCTTCCTCCTTCCCTCCCCAACAAGAGCAGATAACATGATTACATCTGTCACCTATGACCTGTCTCTGCAAATACAACACTGAGAACATGCCTAACATCCCCCTGCCCCACGACCTGTGACCTCTGGTATCCCAAGCAGAGTGAACACATCTCTTGATGGTGCCATTTCTTTGGGACTTCTTGCTGTGTTTATTATTTGAGTGGTTAGGAGCGTGTGGGAGGTGGGTGAGCTGCCTCAGTGTGCCTGCAGAAGCCAGAAGACAACTTGCAGAAGTCAGTTCTCTTCTTCCACCCTGCAGGACCCAGGGCTGAGACTCAAGTCCACAGTCTTGACAACAAGCACCTTTACCCACAGAGCCAGCTGGTCAGACCAGGAGGTGTCAGTCCTTAACTTCATGATTGACTTGGCATCTTGGGAAGTCACACACCCTAGGCTTGTGTATCAAACTGTGTTTACACCACATCAGCACGCACAGGAGCACACGTTCCCTCTGAGACGCCTGCTCACAAGACCTCTCCTCTGCCTCTCAGAATGCACCAGCGTCCTCTGTGTTGTTTAGGTAACTAAGCTCTGATGGGGCCTCCCACTTCTGCTCAATTCTCTCACAATTGAAAGGAGGAGGTTCTAGTCTCCAGGAAGACGTTTTTCCTTCCCTGAGTAGAAGCATACCTTGCCACCTCCTTCAGACACACACACACACACACACACACACACACACACACACACACACACACACACAGTGTGACACAGTGTCTATTTTACTCACATCATGAAATATGCACTGCCATATTGCCTGTCGGGATCACTGGCATCCATAATTCACTTAAGCAGTTTGTAGATGGATTCCGGGTTTGTGCAGCTGTTCATACTGTTAAAAGGAACTGTTATAATTCTGACCACAGCAACAAAGGGGATGTTGAATTCTTAGTCTTTCTGTGGAAGCTAAACCAGTCTACCAAAATCTGACTTTGTCACTGTCCTCTAAGACTGCTCTCCAGGCCATCCGCTATCCACGAAGCAAATCTCTGGTTTCAATCTGACAGTTCTTCCCCATACCTACTCCCCCCATGACCCCCACAAACCCAGGCTTTCCCCAGTGCTCCCTGCTATGACTCCGAAAGGCTTTCGTGTTCCAGGTCCTACTTTCCTCTGCCTCTGTCTTCAGCTCTTGTAGTTCAGCCCTTGGTGGGTGCCCAGCAGAGACCCTTGCTTGGGCCCTCTCTAGTCTCTCAAAACGGTGGGTGGGTGACTCCTGGGTGTTCACACCAATCAAAATACAAGCTGAAGACGGGACACGTCCCTCGCTGTCAGTCTAGCTCTTAACCCAGTGTCTGATGCCAACATGTTCCCCACCATCCCCAGCTGAATTAAAGCATGGGGTGGAAAGACAGCACAGGGGTGGACATGAACTTAAAGACACCTGATTCTGAGGACTTCTGCTGAGTTCCCAGGAACTGTGGGGCAAGGCCTCCTTGGGATGAGTTTCTTCTTCACAAGAGACACTATTCATCTTATGGGGAAGGCCACCAGCAGCAAATGAAACAGATTACTGAGGACTATAGTAGTGACTTTTTTCTTTTCTTCTCCTTCCTTCCTTCCTTCCTTTCTTTCTTTCTTTCTTTCTTTCTTTCTTTCTTTCTTTCTTTCTTTCTTTTTTTTAAATTGGTTTCTGCCTACAGAGTTCTAGGGTTACCAGGGAGCAGAAGCAGGGGTGGGGGAGGGATGCCTCCCTACCCAGCTTCTTTTTTCTTCCAGATCCTTTCACCTCCCCAACCATCCAACTCCACACCTTCTTTCTCTCTCTTTAAAAACAAATGAACACATAGGAATAGCAAAAAATAAATAAATAAAAAATTTTAAAACACCAAAAAAAGCACAAGAAATACACACACACACACACACACACACACACACACACATGTGCATGCGCCAGAAACCATAATATACAAGCAAAAGACCAGTAAGATTTTTTTTTAATGCCCAAACAAAGCAATATGAAACCAAAAAAAAAAATCTATAAAAACACCACTGAGTTCACTTTGCGTTGGCCATCTACTGCTGGGCATGGGGCTGCCATGAAGGGTGGTTCATAAACCCAGGGAGACTCCATTGAATAAGTGGCTTTTCCTTGGTGAGCAGTTGTCACATGGAGACAGGTCTTGGTTAGGGATGAGAGACCGTGTCTATGTCCCCCTCTCATCACTGGGACCCCGTCTGACTGTGCAGTCCCTGTGCGTACCGCCGCAGTCCCCACGGTCAGCTCTGTGACACAGTCAGATGTGTCAGTCAGTCCTTTGTGTCTGAGGATACTGTCCCTTCAGTGTCCTCTGTGTGTCAGTCAGTCCTTTGTGTCTGAGGACACTGTCCCTTCAGTATCCTCTGTCCCCTCCGGCTCTCACACTCTTCCCGCCTCCTCTGCTGCAGGGTCCTATGTAGGACTGAGTGTTCCAAAGTCTCTCACTCTCTGCACACTGTCCAGTTGCAGATCTCGGTATTTGTTCCCTTCTGCTGCAGGAGGAAGCTCCTCTGATGATGGCGGAGGGAGACACTGATCTACGGGTATAGTAAAACACCATTAGGAATCATTCTATTGCTGTGTTCCTTCAGAAGAACAATAGTATTTTGTTTTCTCCTAGGCCCGTGGTCTATCCAGTTTCAGGTTCTTGGTCACCTGAGCATTGTCGGGCAGAGGTTCCATCTGGTGTAGTGGGTCTTAAATCTAATCAGATAGTGGATTGTTACTCCCACAACGTTTTACTGTTATTGTATCAGCGTATAAAGCAGGTCGCTCATCACTGTAAGTCACAGGGTCTGTAGGTGGGTTGATGTTTACCTTTCCCCTCCGGTAACAAGCAGAGCACCCTCCAGTACCGTGAACATTAGTCAGGAGGGATGAAGGCTCTAGCTAGGCACTAGCTGGACTTCTCTGCCTTCGATGCAATATGTAAGTGTTGTCTTCCGCAGCGAGGCCTTGACATAAGTTTGTGGAGAGCAACCAATAGCCTTGGCCGGGTTGTTGGGAGGTTTCTGGTGTTTACACCTTAAGCCACAGGCAGAAAGCAGAGAGTACACTGGGGACTGTACCAGCTTGGAAACCTCAAAGCCTGCTGTCCCGATGTACCTCCTCCAGCAAGGCCACACCTCCTGAACTGCCCAAACATCACCCCCAAAAGGGCCAAGCAGTGAAATACTGGAGACCACGGTGAGGCATTTCTCATTCAAACCATCACAAGGAGGAAACGGCCCTAAAGGAAGCCAGCTTAGTTAACTAGTTACTGTATTTAGCAAGTTTT